CGGCTGCGGGCACTGCGCCACTATCTGGAAGCAGACAGGCCCCCCGCACTCCGGGGTGCTCACCCCTCGGGCTTGTGGCCTTTGGACCTTCCCCCGCCCGTTCGCTGGCCGCCAGCTGGACCTCGACGGCGCCTCCCCTACCTTCGTTCGCCAGGTCCGCCATTTTACTTCCTCAAGCCCTCCCACAAGGCTCCGCGCTGGCCGCCGCTCGCCTGCTTTCTGCCAGAAACTCTCGCGCGTGCGCACTTCCCAAGCCGACTCCGAGAGAGGAGGGCAGCTCGCGCCTGCGCGCCGAGCCCGGCGCGGAGTCGAGCTCTGTATTGCTGTCACCGGCAGGCCCAGTTCCGAGCCCTCGCCTGCGCACTAACCGCCCCCGCCTCCTTTTCCCGCCGATCGAGGGGGCGTGGTCAGGGCAGGGCGCATGCGCAGTGCTCCACGCGAGCATCCCGGGCAAGGGGAAACACACACGTTCAGTAAGGGAGCGTGGCTGGCGCTGGGTCTAGTCACCCCAGTTTACTGCTTGTTTTCCGGGGATCCCAGTGGTGGGAGAGTGAGCCATCCAAAGCGCCGCGATGGAAACCTTCTAGGTAAATCCTGGGGAGTCTGCGGACCGTGGCAGGGGGGCTTTCCACACCACAGGACAGAGGCCAGAGGGGGTGGCCTGCTAGGGGTTTTTGGCTCTCTGTCACTTCAGGCTTCAGTTTCCCCTTCTAAGGGGCAAGTACATTGGGCAAATGCTTTCTTGGGGACGTGGGGAGTGGTTGGGGCGAGCAAGCAGAAATCAGAGGTTAAACTTAACTGGCCAAAGGTGGGGGTGTCCGTGGGGGACACAGGTGTTGGCTGGGGGACCCCGCGCAAGGGACTTGATCTCTCTAGAGTCTAGGCCAATAGAATTGGAGCTCCAGGATGGCCATACCCGATGTCATGAATGGAACCCACCTGTTCTCATCGGCTTGGCTGTCAGCACCCCAGGCCAGACCATCCTCCTCTTTCTCCTGGAAGACTAGACAGCGTCCTCTCTCTTTGCTCTCCTTCCTTTCATTCTTCTGGAGTTCCAGGCTCTGTTCTGCACACAGCAACATGCGCAGGAATCTTTTAAAAATATAAATTGGATCAAGGACACATCTTTCCTTAATGTTTCCAAAGGGCTTTTGCTGAACTTGGAATCGACTCTAAACCTCTTATTCAGACTTACACAGGCCCCTGTGCTTTGCTCCCAGGCTCCCCCTTACTTATTGCAGTTCAGCCACAGGGGTCTTTCCATCCTTGGAGCACACTAGACTCCTTTCAGCCTCAGGATCTTTGCATTTGTTGATCCCTCTTCTTGGGACTTTGTGTCCTATGGCTTATTTAGGTTTGAATCCCAGTTTCGCTCCTTCTCCAGGGGGATCTAAAGGAGGAGGTCTCTAGCTTGTGAGCTAAGAATGGTGTTACATTTTTAATTGTTGGAAAAAGCCAGAAGTGGAGTAATATCTCAGAACATGTGAAAATTGTATGGAATTTAAATGGGAGTGTCCATAAACAGTTTTATTTGAAAATAGCAATATCCTCCTATATAATAAAAGCCTAATATGCAAATTGTCCTCTTGGGCAGGAGTTCGACTGGGAGACTGGGAGTTTGATCGCTCTCTATGACATGTGCTGACCACCAGGGGGCGGCATGGCACGAAGGAAGGCCCCAGTTGGCAACCGGCATCTGAGGAAGGGAGGCCCTGGCCAGCAGCCAGAAGGCTCCAATCGGCCCTGATTGACAGCCAGGCCTAGGGACCCTACCCATGCACGACTGGGCCTCTAGTATTCATTATATGTCATTACATATAATCCCTTCTTGGCCTTTGCCATATCTCTGAACCCTGTGACCTTTAATGAATTCTTTCCCTGCCTGTTTATTGGTTTAAAGTTATGTTAAATAGATACTGTATATCATTTAAAATAGAAAACTACCAGCCATGAATAGGAGGTGATTGTAAAAATAAACAGGGCCCTGGCTGGTGTGGCTCGGTTGAGTGCTGTCCCATGCATGGAAAGGTCACAGGTTGGATTCCCAGTCAGGGCAAATGCCCTGGTTGTGGGCTTGATCCCCAGTAGGGGGCTTGCAGGAGGCGGCAGATGGATGTTTCCCCCTCTCCCTTCCCCTCTCTCTTAAAAAAAAATCAATAAAAACATTTAAAAAATATTAAAAAAAATAAACAGGAAAATGAGGTTTTAAAATTTTGGGTGGCTACTGTTGCCTGCCAAGGTGCTGAGCCTGCCTTTTCTAAAGAGATTAGCAAAGTATTAGAGGGTGATTAAAGGCATATTATCACTTACCTGAACTTTCTCCTTGACATGATGAGAAGGCGTGACAGATAATTGAAAATGGGATAACTATAATCCATGTGATTTGGTGTCATTTAATGCCATGTCTACATGTCTCCTAAAGTCATTTCATACTCTACATTCATCCCACACTTTGGGAAACTCCCAGAAACACGCCATTACTTGGTAAATATAATCCAGTTGTGGTTTTCCAAGGCACATTGAGAGATGCTAAACCTATCAGCCTGATAGGCCAACTGAATTTCCACTGGTTACACAATTTTCATCACAGTGCTCGTGACTGCCAACATCATGCCCTGCAGGCTTTCTTTTGATATCTTTATTTGGTCTCCTCTAAGAAATTAACTTAGTCAATATTTATTTATTAAACAAATATTTGTTCATCACCTACTCTGGGGGTTTTAAAATATGGCCCCAAATTATTTGACCTTCTTCCCATCAAGAGCGAAGTCTCTGTCCCCTTCCCTTTCATGGGGATGAGCTTGTTGCTGGTCCATCAACAGAGTATAGTAGAAATGACACCAGGGAACTTACAAGGCTAGGTCATGACAGAGTGAGGGGAGGTAACTTCCGCCTGCTTTGCTGGAACACTTGCTCTTAAAAGTGTTCAGCCATCATGTAAGCAGCCCAACTGCCCTGAGGCAGCCATGCTGTAAGGAAGCTGAAACACAGAGACCACAAACCCCCTGAGAGAGAACTGCCCCGCCTATGCCTTGCTGTTTCTCACCTTCAGAAACCATGGAAGATAAATTAAATGATGGTTGATCATGACAGAGTGAGGGGAGGTAACTTCCTCCTGCTTTGCTGGAACACTTGCTCTTAAAAGTCTTCAGCCATCATGTAAGCAGCCCAACTGCCCTGAGGCAGCCATGCTGTAAGGCAGCTGAAACACAGAGACCACAAACCCCCTGAGAGAGAACTGCCCCGCCTATGCCTTGCTGTTTCTCACCTTCAGAAACCATGGAAGATAAATTAAATGATGGTTGCTGTTGTAAGCCACTGAATTTGGGGGATATTTGTTATGCAGCAATATATATCCGCCAGACCTACTATGCATCAGACACTGCTTTACATGTTGGGGTCCAAGATGAACAAGACAGACCTTGCCTTCCCGGAACTTTGCATTCTTCGGTGGGGAGACTGACAATAGGCAGGTAAGCAAAATCATTTGAGATAGTGACTAGTGCTACAAAGAAAATAAAATAGCATATTGTGACAGTGATAGAATGGATACTTTAGATTGGTTGGTCAGGGAAGTCGCCTCTGAGGGGTGACATTTTAGTAGAAGGTCTGTAGGAGAAGCATTCTAGACAGAACAGTGAGTGCAAAGGTCTGAGGCAGGAACCAGGTTGGTGAGCTGGAGGAGCAGTGAGGAGCTGTGTGGGCCAGGACAGAGTGAGGAAATGCGGTTAGGGAGGGGTGCGAGTGAGAAATTTGGAGTTTTTCCTAATACAAGGCTTGGAAGTGGGAAGTGGAGGGATCCAAATTGTTTACCTTAAACTGCTGATCAGCTTCTCTGCTGCCTGCTTCCTCCTTAGCTTACTAGCAGACAAGTCCGAGGTACCCCTGAGCCCGGCTGAGCTCTGAGAACTGTGAACTTCCTTATCCACAGCCAAGATGGAAAATGGCTTTTATAGTTGGGCTCCAGGTAAAAGCCTTCACAACTGTAATTCAGTTCTTGTTTTCCCATCGTGGGCAGGGAGCCAGCCATGTGAAAAAGTATCTGCCTTGTGCCCAGCCTCACACTGAGGTCAAGACCCAGAGATGAATCAGATACAGTTCCCTCCGTCAGGGAGCTTAGAGTCAGGTGGGGACAGAGGGGAGGCATCGGGTTGCCTCTCCGGCTCAGCACCGTTCCCTGTCTTCCCTCAGTCTGTGAGTTTCTCACAGTAGGATGTCCAATGTGGCTGACACTGACACAGAGGGCAACCCCTGACCTAAGCTGGGTGCAGCAGGTAAATAGGGTACGGAAATACTTACCTTACTCTATTTTATTTGTAATTAAAATATTTTTTAACTTTTGTCCTAGCGGTGTGGCTCAGTTGGTTGGACGTTGTCCTGTGTACCAAAAGGTTGCCTGTTCTATTCCCAGTTAGGGCACATGCCCGGGATGGGAGCTTGAGATCCTGGTAGGGAGCGTGCAGGAGGCAGCTGATGGATGTTCCGCTCTTCCATCGATATTTCTCTTTCTCTTTCCCTCTCCCTTCTTTCTCTAAAAATCAATAAAAATATTATTTAAAAGCTTTCACTTTCAAATTAAAATAAATTCACTTACCAAAAATGCAGAAATAATACCAAGACATTACACATAGCTTCACCCAGATTCCCGAATATTCACATCTTAGGTAAGTGAAATGACCCAAACCAGGAAGTTAATACTGATGCAGTAGTGTTCACTAATGTACAAACCTTAGTCATATTTCATCACTAACATTTATTTTCTGTTCCAGGATCCAGTCCAATATCCCTCCATAAACGACATCCATTTAGATGTTGTTTCTCCATAGTCCTTCAGTAGGGATCAATTCCTCAGCCTTATTTTTCCTTAACCATGACACTGATACAAGTACTGCCCTATTTTTTGTAGAATGGCCTTAATTTTTGTTTTTTAATGTTTCCTAGTGATTAAATTCTGGTGATGTATTTTGGGCATGAATAATGTGGGAGTGACGTGTTCTCAGGGTGTCCTCTTAGGAGGCACTTGATGTAGATTTGTGTCCTCACTGATGATAACTTAGATCAATAGGTCTAGAATGTTATCTGCTAGGTTAATACTTTTCCCCTTGTATTTAATATCTAGCAGGGATATAAATAAATAGGGAATATTTGAGGAAAAGGAGAGGCAGAGGGAGGAAAGAGCTTGTGGTCTTTCTAGGCAGTATTGCAATTTAGTAAACAAAGCCCCCATTCTAGGCAAAATCCGAGCTCGCAGTGTCTGTGGACCAAAAGGAAAAGGCTGTGTCTCACAGTGACCACTGGGGGGTGGCAGAAGATTGGGATTAATTAAAAATGGCTCCAGGAGAAAAGCAATTCATTCCTTTTTTATTTTATTTTATCGTATTTTTAAAATATATTTTTATTGATTTCAGAGAGGGAGAGGGAGAGAGAGATTGAAACATCAATAATGAGAATCATTGATCAGCTGCCTCCTGCACGCCCCATACCGAGGATCGAGCCTGCAACCCAGGCCTGTGCCCTGACCGGGAATCAAACCGTGACCTCTTGGTTCATAGGTCAATGCTCAACCACAGCCATGCCGGCTGGGCTTTTCCTTCTTTAAAAAAAAATATTTTAAAAATTGATTTTAGAGAGAGGAAGGGAGAGAGCGAGAGCAAGAAAAAGAAACATTGATTTGTTGTTCACTTATTTATGCATTCATGGGTTGATTCTTGTGTGTGCCGACTGGGAATGAACCTGCAACCTTGGTGCATGGTATTGGGACAATCTAACCAACTGAGCTACCCGGCCTTTCTAAGTAAACTTGTGGGGACTCAAAGGCTCTGCACCTGTTGGGGGTCTGGCATCTCTTGGGAACAAGGTCAGTAGGTGCTGGCTGCACCAGCAGAGGTAGAGCATGTTTCAGTTGCACTGCGCCTGGCTGCTCTGAGGATCATGCTGTCATCAGTACGCATGTGCCACCTCAGAAACAGGGGCTCCAGGTCCTGGGAGGGCTTCCGAGGTCTGAGAATCCCTACTGATCCTGCCTGCAAAACTCACAGGGGCACTGGCTGGGTGGCTCAGTTGGTTGGAGACTCCTCCCATACAGCAAAAGGTTGTGGGTTCGATTCCCAGTCAGGGCACATACCTAGGTTGTCGGTTTGGTTGCCGGTGGGAGCATGTATGGGAGGTAACCGATCCATGTTTTTTTCTCTCCCCCTTCCTTTCTCTCTAAAATCAATAAAACAACAACAACAAACATCCTAGAATGAGGATTTAAAAAACACACCAAAAAACTCATGGGAACTAAGGTGTCTTGCTTTGGAGATTGGTTGCAAACCCCAAAAACCACCTTTGGCCAAATGTAAAGAAAGGGGGAATTTGCTTGAAAGTTAAGAGGATGCTAAGATCAAAGAGGAGAAAACACTGGGCAGTTCCAGCAGGTCTTGGGCTGGGAATTGTTTAGCATTATCGGAGGGGCACCTTCTGAGAATGCCCCAAATTCAGTTGTTTTCAGTCTTACAGTCATTCAACTCCCTGGTCAGAATCCAAGCAGAAAGTATTGCATGGGCCCAGCACCACAAAGCATTTATCAATCTCTGCCCTGCCTAGGGTCCCACCTCTATCCAGTTCAAGCCTCCATCAGATGTTGATTGAGTGCCTCTAGGTGCCCAGCTGTTGGTGAGATGCCATTTGAGGTATCTTGATGCCAGTGGGGCATCCAGTGGGCAGTTGTACATATGAGGGCTAAGGGAGGGGACTTTTCAATCCATTTTGTAGTTATTGGTCTCTCACTTATGGGCCACCACCCTGGAATGAAACCCCAAGTCCCTGCCAGGATCTAGGCAGCCTTCCTTATCTCCCCCGATTTGCCCTTCCTGCCCCATCAGTCACCCTGTGCCGGCCATAGTGGCCTCCTTGCTGCTCTCCACACACGACAAGCCTGTTCCCAGGATGTGAGAGAACCCACATAGAAATTGGGTTCTATGGGAGAAAGGTCATCCCCAAAGAAGGTGGGACAGAAGCCGGATAGCAAAACCCCACAATTGTCCATCATAGAGGATTCTAGAAGGGACCCATGACCTCAAAATAGGGTGAGAACTACTCTCTGGCATTGTGCCTTTGGATACATATGAATATTCAATACATTACAGTCCAATACCATACACACACACACACACACACACACACACGTATGATATACACATTAATATATACTGAAATTAAGATTTTATAAAGCCATGCTTATTTTTATTATGTTGACACTCCTGATCTTTTCTTAGTCCATTAAAAAGAAAACTAAACGGATCCTAAGTCACAAGCATGATTTTATAACCCACTCGGCCTGCCGCTGGACAGTGGCTCTAGCAGGCCTCGGCCCTCTTTTCCCCTTCCCCTACCACACTCCAGTTCAGCCCCTAGAGCCTCCCTTGTAGACTTTAACAAGTACCTAGTTGACCTCCTTGCTTCCAGTTTCTTCATGTTTAATCCATCCTTCCAGAATCAGTCCAGCTTTAAAAATTCTGATGGTGGCCTCCCAAGTTTCGCTTTGTCTATTCCTCATCATTCCTCCACATTTTCTCTCCTTTCCTCTACCTTCCCATAATCCCCAGGAATAGTATCTTCTCCCAGAGGCCTTCTTCATTCATTAATTCACTCACTCACTCATTCACTAAATGTTTGCTGAGCATACAGTGTGCTAGAATTGGGAAATAGTCTTGAGCAAGGCAGACAAGAGTTAACACCTGCAGTGGGGTGTGTAGGGGCATCTATGGGTCCTCCTGCACTCCCTTTCCCCCCAACTGTGGCTTATTGAATTCTGATGGGGCCATTAAAGCTATAATGATCACCAGGGACCCAGGCTCCTTCTGTCACATTGCTTTGCCATCCTTATTAGATAACATCCACCTCAAGATCCAAGATGGCTGTTGGTGCTCCAGCCATCATGTCTGCATTCCAGCCAGCAGCTTCAATTTCCCCATGTGCACAATCGGGGTAATACCTGCCTTGGAAGATTGTCCAAAAGAGGAGATCAGACCAAAGTATCTATTGTGGAGCTCCTGTGATTAGGCAGAAGCTCCCAGAGGCTCTTGGTAGGACTAGGTTCCCTCCATTGTGCAATGCCTGCTTCCCAGAGCCCTTACCCAGTGGGCCCTCCAAGAAACTTGGCAGCCTGTGGGACTTCAGCAGGTTCCCTTGCTCATCTCTCTGACTCCTGGGGCAGTAATCACGTAGGCACCACCCATGTTCAATCCTTCACCAGCCACTCAGACCCCAAGGGCAGGGCCCGATTCTCCTCCAGGGACCCTGCCACCCAACACCCAGCCTGTTTCTCTGAAGGGGAAGGCGGGGCGGGGGCGGGGGCGGCGCTGTTTGGTGCAAGAGCTATTGCTGCTAAGTAGCTGAAATTGTGAATCACCAGAGGGTAGGGGCGAGTCTGGGTTCTGTGAGACTGGCAGGGAATCAGCACAGAGTCAGGGCCTGAAGAAGAGGGAGTTCACCAGGATCAGCCATGGAATTTGTGGGGCCCAGTGAAAATGAAAATGTAGGCCCTTTGTTCCAAAATTAAGAATTTCAAGATAGTGACAGAAGAGCATTAAGACAAGCACAGACCCTGGAGTCCCAGCCCAAGGAAGTGATGGACAATTTTAGTGTCACCTGGAGGCCCCATCATAGAGGATTCTAGAAGGGACCCATGGCCCAGGGCCACTTCCTGGGACAGAGGCCTGCTCTGGGGCCTAAGGCCGAGCATCCCTGGGGGCATGTGGGGTACTGGCCTGGCAGTGAGAAGCTGCTTTTAGGGGAGGCTGATCAAGAATGGCATTGCTCTCTGCAGGGTTTCTTCAAAGTCCTATGATCCCCTGTGTCACACTCCCCTGGGAAGTGGTGGTCATAATATGGATTCCCAGATCCAGCCCAATCCCAAGAGGCAGGCTTTCTTCAGCTGGGGCCCAGGGATTGGCGATTTTGGAACAAGCTCTAGCATTGGTTCTTAGGAGATTCTGGATTTGCCAGCCGCCACGCCCCTCCCCCGCCCCCGCCCCCGAATAAACCTTGAGAACAACTGGTGGGCTGCTTCAGTGGCTGGAGTGTGGATTTATTCTGTAATATTTGAATGAATTTACTCTGTTTACAAATGGCCTCGACCATCCTGTGCTAGGAATTGTTTCTTGCCATCTTTGGCCCTGGACTGGCCTTGCTAAGTGAAGCTTGAAGAACATTGCTCCTTCTCCAAGCTGCTGTTCCGAGCAGGCTGGGAGGGAGCATCTACCCTCCAGCACCCTGGGGTGGGAGGGGGCTGGAGTGTGGATTGTGACCCCCAAATGGGTATGCTTAATGTGTTTACTGCGATGAAAAACGAGAACGGGCTCGGAAGACTCGTGTCTTTACTGTCATTTGTAGTCCTCCTCGTGGAATCCTGCAAAGGACACGGCAGAGCCTAAGGCAGAACCCAGCTGACCCTGGGAAAGAAGAGGCCATCACAGTGCATGCCCCGTGGGCTTCAGGGCCTTCCAGCAGAGGAGGTGTATATTTAAAGACATTCTTTCTGTCTGATTTCATCTAAGTCTTGAACGCTAAGCCCAGACAAACATTGTGATCATCATGGACTTGGGGTTTCTACAGTCAGCGAGTCTCTTGCCATTTCCTCCCCCACCACCACCCCGCACACCTGGCGAGGGCCGAGGTGGGCCCAGCGCTCCTGCTTGACATGAATGAGATAAAATATTGGGGACCAAATATACTGCAATATACATTATTAAGAAATGTTCTAATAACAATAGGAGCACAGAACTATTGGTATAAAGATATTTCCAAAGAGAGAAACATTTGCATTGCATTAGATGGCGCTTCCTAGACTAGAGGTTTGTCTTTCTTTGCAGTTGCTTTTGGGACAGGACTCTCACACGGAGCAACCAAGTGCGTGTTGCTATTTGGGACACAGATTGGGAGTTTAAAGTTCAGGGCTGTCCAAGTCCTTGGGATTTGTTTGTCCCCAGAAAAGATCTCAACTTCAAACAGTTCAAGATGGGACCTGCCCAGGGTCACCGTTCTCCAGGATCACCAATTCCAAGGCAGGCGTTCTCGAAGATTCTGTGGGCCACACTGCAGGCATGGCTATTGGTGCAGATTTGGCGGGATGGCGGGCTTCTGAATGCACCACTGGAACACTGACTGCCTTGGCCCCCTTGGATCAGACGCACTGCAGACTCAGCGGTTGGCTTCATGTTGGCTGTAACCTTGGACAGACCCACAGTCCTTCCTGGTGCTGGTAATCCTTCTGGTGTTAATTCTTAGACACAGCGGGCCTATTTCTGTGACTTGTTCTTTGAGCCACATGGGCCCATGGGCTGCCTGCCATCTAGAGACACACTGTGGACCTTTGGAGTCTAGAAGTGGGGCCCTGGGACCTCCCTGCTTCAGCACAGGACAGGAGGCCGAGGACAGCCTGTCTACCAGAGGCCATGGGGTGCAGTGCGGAGACACGCCTTTCCATCACAGGGGCACCAGAGCAGGGTCTCCGTGGACGAGGTCAGTGTGGGACTGACCAACAGCTATGAGACACCCTTCCTTCCTGGGATCTGCCTGAGTTTTAAAAATCACGGTGAAAACTGGACTGAGCTGAATGGAGAAGCCCAACGCAGAGGTGCTGACCTGCCCAGCTCGGTCTTTCCAGCTCGGCGGGGTGTGTGGAAGTGGCCTGAAGGTCACAGTCCAGCAGACGGGAGAACTAAGACAGTCAGGAGGAAAAGATGATCCGGGTGACCCCCAGGGGAGCCACTCAGGTACTCAGAACCAGGTGTAACCTTCAGCCGTGGCGAACAACAGTTTTCTTGGGGAGGAATAGCATGTCCTTTCAGGGTGCACATGCCCTGGGATCCTGTGAGTCAGAGTCAAGGTCACTTCATGTAAGAGGCACGACTGTTGTGGAGCTCGAGGAGGCCAGGCAGGCCTGGGGAAGGGCCTCAGTGCTACATACCCTACAGGGAGTGGTTCGGGTCACTGCGCTCCCGTTTTACCAGGGGCTCACCCAAGCTGCGGGCATCCGCATCGGCCTCACTGCTCCGGTCTTCACTGATGTCATCTGTGGGGTCAGTGTTGGGGAGAAAGGGGTGAGTGGGGGGTGACAGGAGGGAGGGAGAGAGAAGCACATCCTCAGAGGCACCCAGGCATGAACAGACCTCAACTCTGGTCTGGTTAACCTGGTCCTTCTAGGCCTTCTTATCCGTGACTTCTCTTGACCAGTGCTCATTTGCCTGGGTCACATTCCTGGCAGGTTTTCCCTTAGTGCTTGGTCCTCCCATCCCTCTGGGGGCAGGGAATGAGCTGGAGCTGGGGGCCTTTCTGCCCTGCTACCCCTTCAAATCCTCCCTCCCACCTCATTCCTGGCTGTGGCCCTGCTCCTTGGAGCCTGGCGTGGGTGCCCATGAAGTGCCACACTCAAGTAGGAGAGGACAGGGCTACTCGGAGGCATCACTGGGACACCTACTGCTGCCTGGTGTCACCCTCTGTCTGCGTGCCAGCTCCTGAGGCCCTCAACCCACCCGAGAAGCTGCCCTGATTTTCCACCAGGCCACTCGCAGGAGGAAGCCTCATGGGAAAGCCACGGACACACCCACCTTTGTCCAGCAGTGTCAGTGACAGGGAGGCGAGGTCGTTGAACTGAAAGAGAGAAGGCCAGAGTCAGGCCCTCTGCAGAATGGGTCCTCGTGAATGTCAGCAGTTAAAACAGGCTTTTGCTTTGTAAGTGAGGGCTTCTTACATAAGAAGTAGCTATGATGCTGTGTGTCCCCTCTGCCACTTTCTGGGTTGTGTCTAAGAGCTACTAGAGAGTTGAGGGGGTGCTGACTGCTCAGGCCAGAAAGGAGACAGGGGCTGTGGCCTCTGAATAGTGACAGTGAAGGAATAGCTGGCATTTATCAAGGGCTTATTATGTTCCAAAAGCTGTATAAGTATAACCTCATTTCTTCCTCAAAATAAATCCCACATGACCCAGAAATTCCACTCCTGGGTAGATACCCAAAATAACTGAAAATAGGTGTTCAAACAAAAACTGTACACACATGTTTACTGCAGCACAATTCACAATAGCCAAAAGGTGGAAACAGCCCAAATGTCCATCAATAGATGAATGGACAAACAAAATGCTGAACATCCACATACTGGAATATTACTCAGCCGCTAAAAAGAGCAAAGCACTGATACCCCCTACAATGTGGATAAACCTTGAAAACATGATGCTCAGTATGAGAAGCCAGAGACCAAAGGCCACATAGTGTGATTCCCTGTGAAATGTCCAGAACAAGCAAATCCAGAGACAGATTCATGGTTGCCAGGTGCTGGGAGGAGGATGAGAATGGGGCTTCTCTTTGGGGTGATAGAGTGTTCTGGAATTAGATAGAGGTGATATTGCACAACACTATGAATGTACTAAATATCACTGAATTGTTCACTTCAAAATGGTTAAAATAGTAAATTGTATGTTATATGAATTTTACCACAATAAAAAAAAGGCCTGTGTTTGAGGCCTCATTCAGAGGCAGGGTATCCTGCCCAGAGTGAGAATAGAGTTGGCTGAGGAGACAGGATCTGAACCCAGGCCTGCAAGCTCCAGCATGAGAGCTCTTTCCTGCCCGCTGTCCACTGTGTCATACTCAGCAGACTCCCTCACCCCTGGAGGCTTCTCTGGTCCTCACCTCTCCCATCACGGCAATGGGTGTCTCCCCGGTTGCCTTGGCGACGCGGTGCTCCACCAGATAGAACATGTACTCATCATACAGCAGGCGTATCAGGTGGAAGGAGCCGAAGCTGGCAGCGCTGCGCAGGGTGAGGTCTCGGATCACCATGGAGCTGGGGGACGGGCAGACAGAGGCTAGGCACCTTTTGGGAGCACAGAGCCCCACCAGGCAGGCGAACCAGGCTTTTCTTCAGCTCTGGGGTCGTCTGGGGACCTCTTAGACCTACAAGGGGCATGCCAGTTGCCAGACCACCCCCATGTCCCAGTGTGACTCAGGTGGGGACAGGCAGATGGGAGGTGAGCAGGAGCAGTGGCTCTAAGAAGAGGCCACTGAGAACATAAAGGTGACAGTCTCTGACATAAGCCTTAGAGACCAGACCGCCTTTGGTAAGGAGTCTTTTCAGTGCCATAATGACTCCCCAACAGCAGGCCATCTTTCCCAGCCTCCCCTGTATCCTTCCCTCTTCACTCTGTGGTTTAGGTACCTAAAAACAAGACAGAATTTCAGGGTGCCTTTGCCTCGGGTTGGCAAACTAAAGCCCAATCCAGACCAAACCTAGCTTACCACCCTGTTTTTATACAACCTGAGCGCTAAGAATAGTTTTTACATTTTAAATGGTTGGGGAAAAATCAAAAGAAGAAATTTTTTGACCCATGAAAAGTATCTGAAATTCATGTTTCAGTGTTTTTAAATAAAGTTTTATTGGCACACGGCCATGCCTATTTGTTTACATGTGTATGCCATGTGCCAATAAAACTATTATTCAAAAATACTTAGTATCGGATTCTTTTTAAAGAACAAAAAATGACCCCTGATCTCAAGTAACATGACACCCAACCAGAAACCCAGGTCTATACACACATCTGCCATGTAGTCCCAAACACTCAAATGCCCATTTCAGAGCTCACCTACTCTCAGTTAAGTCTAATCACTATCGGAGCAATACAAGACATAGGCAGGGCAAGAAGGGGAGACACAATGTAAATACAGACTATTATAGTAATTAAATAAGGGGTTATCACACTGGGGTGCTCTGATGCCTTGAGCCTAGTAAGCAAACCAAAATCTAAGCCATGTCAATGTCTGAGAGTGAAACTTACAAACAAGGAGTTACAACGTTCCCAAATAAGGCAGCTGCTGGAACTGTAGCCAATCAAATCATGTCACTGCTTTGCTTCCTCATCTTCTCCATAACACCTTGTCCTCATTCCTGTTGGTGGAGGCTCCTGACACTTTGGGTTTCACACTGACCAATTCGAATTGGTATTTGTTCAAATGTTTGGAAATTTTAATGTCTCAGTTTAACTTTTAATAGGCTGAAAATGTCCATACTTGTATAATCACAATGGGGCTGCAGGGAGTTAGTAAAGACAGCTGATGACATTAGTTTATTTAATCTTTTTGCATCTCTGGGCCAGCGTGTAGATGCACTCTGAAGGCAGTTTTGTTTAGCCACAGAAAATGACAGCTGGCTTCAGTTGGTTGTGGCTTGGAGATGGCTTAGGGTGCTCTGTACAAATCTGTGCGGGTGCCCGATGACCGTGATGCTTTATCTCACAGGCTTATTGGCCAGGTGAGGGGCACACTTGGCGTCACACGTTGTCGTGGTGCGCCGCCTCTTCCCTCATGGCTTGATTTGGACTGAAGGTGAGATGGCTTAGGAAGAGTAACCAACGAAGGAACCCACGTGGTGACTGTGTCCAAACTGGCACTTTAGAAAGTAAAGGTCACTTGAAGAACATTCTTGAATGCAAAGGGTGTGCTTTTAAGTGGACAGGGTGAAAGGGCTCAGGGTTTGTGATACGTTTTCTCTTTAGAAGCTTCTTTGGCTCTGTACGGCCAACTCCCCTTGGTAAATGAAGGGCCATGGACTGCAGGTTCCTGGGAAGGAGGCTCACCCCCTGCTCACCTCTCACTGCCTCTCCCTCCACTCCCCACCCCAGGAAGCTGTGCTTGGTTTGAGATTGTGCCAGCTCCCTTCTCCGGAAGCTCTTTGTCAGACACAAGGTAACAGGTCTGGACGCTCATGACAACTCAGGCTGTTCAAACACTGTTTGTTAGGGGATCCCATGTCCATACTCTTCAGGTCTCACCTCCCATCTGTGGCCCACCCAGCTTGGTTTCAACCTCCCTTCCCCTGAAACCCCCCACTTCCTCCTGTGCTGGTACTCTGTACCCACTGCCCCCAACCTCGGCATCTGGTGCTATGCTTCAGTTCAAGTAGCTTTTCTGAACCATCTCCAGGTATGTTTCGGGTTCTCCACACGGGCTGATAGCTTCCTGCAGTAGGAACATTAGCGGAACTCCACCAGGAGAAGCTCAACCTGAGCGTGGTGATCCCTCACGAAGCTTGTGCCCATCCCTGTACCGTTATCTCGTGGATGCTATAGAAATAAGTCCCTTAAACCCAATAAAATGAAGTCAGGTAGTGTTTCATCCTTATAGTGAAAAGTGCCCATGTCACAGAGGCAACGGCGCCCTTCAACTTTAGCTGTGTTCTCGTTTTCACATTTCTAAGTCATAGGCTCATCCTACTGCTCTTGACTGGTCAGATGACTTTCCCTGAGACACGCCACCACAGGCACTGTCTCTGTACCGAGACTCAGAGGTGCACCGCCTTCTTCATCCGTCATCTCAGTGTTGCTTCACAGTACTTTTTGGCTCAGTGTTCCCTTATGTGACAATGGGGTGTTAAGCTCACAGCTGAGCCAGGCAGTATATTAGGCTCACATTTCCTTCTTCATTCACTCAACCCACCTTTAGGGGCTGGGAAAGGTGCAGTGGAAAAAGCAACATCCTGGCTCTTGGGGTGTGTGCTCGATCACAGAGGAGGCAGACAACAGACAGGCAAAGGGAGAACAAGGTGACGGGTGACCATGAGAAAAAGCAAGGCATGCGTGACAGGAATAGCAGGAGCGTGCTTTTACTTAGGGAGGTCTGGGAAGGCTTATCTGGTGATGATCTAGCCACATGGCTAAATGGGGCAGAGGAAGGCAGTGTAAGACCCTGAGGTGGCAAGGCTAGAGTGGAAAGTGAGGAGGGAGTTGAGAACAGGGAGTTACTGGGCAGTTGGCTGAGAGACCAGTGAAGTTTTTTTTTGTTTTTGTTTTTTAATAAGACCCAGATAGTAAATATTTTCAGCTTTGTGGCCACATGGTCACAACTCTGCTAAGGATCCATAAACAGTGAGTATGGCCTAGTGTTAATAACAGTTTATTTGCACAATCAGGTGAAGGGTGGTCTGACCTGACTGCTGTAACTCCCTGTTCAGCTGGATCACACATGGCCTGAAAGCCTTAGAGTGGCTATCATTTTCCTGGGGTTAACTGATTCATTCATTCTTTTCTTTTCTTCTTTTTTTTTCTTTTCTTTCCTTCCTTCCTCCCTTTCCTTCCTTCCTTCCTTCCTTCCTTCCTTCCTTCCTTCCTTCCTTCCTTCCTTCCTTCTGTTATTTATTTATATTAATATTATCTGGAGGATACTTATTTTATTTATTATTTGAGTGTGTGATCTGAGAGCCTGTGGGAACCCTAATCAGAGTAAGCTGGATGATCAAGGCCAATTTGCCATACGCATGCCTGCAGGCAAGGATGTAACCTATTTATGTTAATGTGGCACAAGCGTCAGGAATTGGCACGAAGTCTCTTTTGTTTGAGCATGTGCATAAGTTGCCACTGACCAGCCAGGTGGGCGGGGCCACTTTCCTTCCTTCCTCCCTTCATTTCTTCTTTCTTTCTATCTTTAAAATATATTTCAATTGATTTCAGAGAGGAAGGGAGAGGGAGAGAGAGAGAGATAGAAACATCAATGATGAGAGAGAATCATTGATCAGCCGCCTCCTGCACGGCCCCTACTGGGGATCGAGCCCGCAACCCTGACATGTGCCCTTAACTGGAACTGACCCTGGGACCCTTCAGTATGCAGGTCAATGCTCTATCCACTAAGCCAAACCAGCCAGGGCAACTGACCCCTTCTTTAAAAATGTTCAATTTTCTATGTATTTATCACTGAGACCAGGACTCCCCTGCAGAACTGCTGGGCTGCTGTTAGCAAGCACAGTCCATGTCTTCTGGGTAGTGTCCTTTCGGAAGCCCCGGTTCCCCTGCTCCCTTCTACAAAGGTTAGAATTGCATCTTGGAAATGGTTTTCCTTCAGAATTCTGAAGATACTGCTTTCTCTGTACCCAGACTCACAGGAAGAACTAGATCCTGAATTCTAGTTCAGTCAGAAGACACTGTTCTGGTTCTTAGGCCTTCAGTGCGGCCCGTCGCTTTTTCTTGGATGCCTTTTTGATTGTCTCCAGCCTAATATTCCACAGGGGTGCTCCGTGGGGAGGGTGTCATTCATTGTATTGGAAACACGGCGGCTTCTTCAGTTTGGAGGCTGGTGCCCTTCAATTCTGAGACAGCTACTTGATTATGGTTTTATTATTTTCTTTCCCTCCATTTTCTGTCACTTAAAATAATTAGTGAACCTTCTAGATCAAATCCTTTCATTTTTCTTTTATGATTTTTCTCACATTTTTTTTCTTTCTCCATATTTTTTCCTCTCTCATATTTACTTTCTGTGATAGTTTATGTGTCAGCTTGGCTAGGCTCTGGTGCCCCGTTATTCAATCAAACCGTGTCCAGGTGTTGCTGTGGAGGTATTTTGTGGCTGTGGTTCACATCTGTCACCTCTCGACATTAAGTGAAGATTACCCTTGATAACATGGGCCTCATCTAATCAGTTGAAAGGCCTTCAGAGCAAAACGGAGGCTTCCCTGAATAAGAAATCCCACCCGTGGCCTGCAGTGTTGCCTGCCTGAGCCTCCAGCCGCTGGCCTGCCCCACAGATTTCAGACTTTCAGGCCCTCACGATTGCATGAGCCAGTTCCTTGAAATACATCTCTTTATATCCTATATAATAAAACCCTAATATGCAATCGACTGGACAGCAGAACGACCGGTCACTATGATGCGCACTAACCACCAAGGGGCAGATGCTCAACGCAGGAGCTGCCCCCTGGTGGTCAGTGTGTCAGCCAGAAGCCGGGCTCACGGCTGGCAAGCTCAGTGGCGGTGGCGCCTCCGCTGCAGGCAGGCGGTAAGGAGTGAGGGATCCCGGACTGTGAGAGGGTGCAGGCGGGTTGAGGGGCCCCCTCCCTTACCCCCCCACATGATTTTCTTGCACTGGGCCTCTAGTTAATATATAATAATTATTTCTATATTCATATACAATTATGATTAACTATAATGTATTTACATATATAATTTAAGATATATATACTCTCGACACACCTGACCCTTGCCCAGTACCATTCTGCAGGGACAAATGGGACCACAGGAGAACTGACACCGGTTTCTGTCTCCTGCTTGCACTTGGAAGTGAGTGACTAAAAGCCCAATGGTTGCTCCCCGTCTGGCTCACTGACCTAACTGACCACCTCACACCACCTCCCAAACTCTTGCTCTCACTCATTGATCTGCCATCATCTGCTCTCCTGTTCTCCTTGTTCTGGGGATTTATGCCTTTTCACCACTTCCTTTACTGCCACTTTGTGGGGTTTTGCTGGGGAGCAGAAATAAACACATGGGCTCAAGCTGCTATGTTTCTCCAGAAGGCTCGATGACGATTTCTGTCTGTGGAAGCCTGCCACCTACTTTTAGGCCACAGGGTGCCTCTGGGCCTGACCCTGGGAGCCAGCCTGCCACATGAGGCCTACAGGTTGGGCCCTGGTTTGGGCTTTTGGCTACTGAAGGCGGGACAACCTCTGGAGCCCTCCACCCCTGCCCTTCCAGAGTTCTCGGGGAGTTCAAGGGGCACTTACCTATAAAAGGACCATTTCAGCAGGAACTGCCGGGCGGCCTTGGGGAAGCTGGGGCTGCCCGCATGCTGCTTCAGGACCTGCGTGACCACGTTGTCGAGCCAGCTGGCCCACTGGTCCAGGGAGCTCTGCTGCTGCAGGGTCAGCTTGAAGTCCTGCTCCAGCCGCTGCACCACGCTCTCCTTGCACTGGCACACCCATGAGGCTTGCTCCTGCAGGCGCAAGGGCGGTGGGTCAGAACAGAGAGTCAGTGACAGCCCCCACTACCAATGCCATGGGTGAGAGCTCAGGGACCCAGACTGCGGCCATCTCCTGAGCACCAGCTCCACGTCTGACCTTAGGCCGAGCATGCACCCATCCTCACCCGTGGCCTTTTCCAACTGCAGTCAAGCACCATTAGTACCCAATTTCATGGGGACGGAGACAATGGAACAGAGAGGGAACCTGTCCCAGCATATAAGGACTTAAATCCAGGTTTCCCGGACCTATATCTCCAATTATACCATGTCTTTAGGTTTTATTTTTGAGTGGTCACTCTTGTGAATGTGTATGTGTTTAGTGGGTTGACCCAGGGCCTGAACTTGACATAAATACAGTAGCAGGATCCATTTACTGACAGCCTGAACTTTTCTAGGCCCAAAGAAAGAACCATGAATGTGGCAATAGGAAAGCACAATTTTAAAGAAAATGAACCAAGGTGATGGTCACAACTCTGAGAGGCTGAGAGATCCTGAAGTGGAGACCTGTGGTCCTTGGGTGTGCCGACCCTGAATCTAGTTCCTGCAGCAGAAATGTGCGCTGGGTTTGCTATGGCTGCAGATTGAGGGTTTATGCATTTTTCTAAGGGGTGGAAGTCCAGTCCAGAGGGGTTGGGGTCACGTGCACATTGTCCCTGCCTTGCAGTCTGGTCCTGGAACCCCATCCAGGCTGTGGGGACCCATGTGGGGAAAGTCACCTGCACGTTGGCAAAGTCCACGCGGTTGAGGTCGCTGAGCATCTGGTTGATCTGGGAAGTGTTCTGAAGTACGGCCCGGGCCGCCTGTGCCAGGTGGTTGAGGGATGTGTATCTCCGCAGGGTCTGGGCGAAGGCGCTGACCACGCTGACCTGTGGCCAAAGACGGCATGAGAGGGTGAGCTGCACGCATGCACTGCACGTAGGGAAAGCCTATTCTCTCTTCTCTTTGGAGGGCGTGGGCTCAGGGACAGTCAGGGGCAGGGAAGAGGGATACACCCTTGTGACAGTCTCAAGAACCTGAAGAGTAAGAATCAGTGGACACAGATGTCACCAACACATCACGTGGCACCTACAGTAGACAGTGTGGCATTAGTGGGTTAGAACTCAATTCCATCAAGCTCTCTGGAGTGGTTGGTGAGAATGCTGGTTCCTGGGCCAGCTGGGGCAGACTCTGTGGGGGTGGCCTTGGAATCTGTATTTTACTGACTACCTAGATGATTCTTTTGCTCCCTGAAGTTGCAGTATCACCGGCCTAACAGCAATTCCAGACTATAGGCAGGCAGACCAGATGCCCAAAATCTGGCCTCCTCTGTACATGGCAACGCTTTAAGAAATGTGTGCAAGAACAATTGCAAGAAGTTATTCTCTTTTTCCCGTGTGGGCCAAATCTCCACACTTAAATTCTGATTTGTGGCCAAGACTAACGTAATAAGGATACAGCAAGGAGATTAAATTCCGTCTTTTCATGAGCATAGAAATATTCAATCTGTTGTGAGCTGACCCAAATGTGCCACATCAAATGGCATCTTCCGTCAAGCCCCTCCCTGCCACTACCTATCCTACATCAGCAGCATCTTCAGGACTTCCTGAAGGGACCACTGATCCTCAGGACACACAGGAGCGACCGGCTCTCCCTGGGGCCCAGCAGTCAAGTTCTCCCAGAGCAGAGGGAGAGGAGCCCCCTCCTCTGAGCTACTCCCGGCCCCCTCCCTTTACAGCACAGCTGGGCCCAAGGGGTCCCCAGGCCCGTGGCCTCTGCTTCTGGTCACCAGTGTGGTCTGAAGGCCCAGACCCCATTCCCAGGAGTTACCTTAGTCTGGATAACCTGTTGTGGGAAGTCACTCATGGCGTTCGTCAACCAGCCTTCCAAGCTCTTGGCAAAGTTACGAATGGCCTGTGTCAAGGTGCCTGGGAGATCGAAACACAATATTAACAGTGAGAAAGGCAGAGCCTCGCCCCTCAGGATCAGCCATGAGTAAGATGCAAATGTAATGAAAGTTACCACCAAAAAGCAACACAGAGGAAAAGAGAGCAAGGGAGTAGCACAGGCATGGGGGATAATTTGGGACACTTAGTGAGGGGAGCCTGGAGTAAGAGTTAGGGCCTGTCCAGACCGTTCATCTCTGTTCACCTATCTGTCTACACTAGGGGTTCTCACCTAGGGTGACCCTGCCCCCTGGGGGACATATGTGGTTCTCATGACTGGGAGTGTTCCTGGCCTTGAGCGCGTGGGGGCTAGGGATGCTGCTCAACACCCCACAGTGCCCAGGATGACCCCACAGAGAGTGACCTGACCCCAGTGTCAGCAGTGCTGAAACTGAGACCCTGATACACATGCATGTAAATATATCCTATCAACTTCTAAGTTGACTTTGAGATGGGTTACAGTAAGAAGGAAATAATAAGACTCTAAAAATAAAAAACCCCCCAATGTAAAAGCAAATCTACCCCAAATTTAAACCTTAATATAGACTTAATGCACACTATACTCAACAGCTGTTGGGCAGGCAAGGCCATAGGATAAATGCAATCATTATGCTGGTTCCCATTTTCTGGCACAAAAGCAGCAGTGCAAGAAAGACCGGGGGTTTCCAAGCACTGACACAAATGTGCACGGGTCACCTGCCAAGTGTAACCTGTGGTGTCTGCTGGAGGCATTAAGAGCGAGGCCTCCCATTTGACCCAGTGATCCCACTTCTAGGAATATATCCCAAGAAACTAGAAACACCAATCAGAAAGGATATACGCACCCCTAGTTCATAGCAGCACAATTCACCATAGCTAAGATTCAGAAACAGCCTCAGTGCCTATCAGCAGATGAGTGGATTAAAAAACTGTTACATCTACACAATGGAATACTATGCTGCTGTAAAAAGGAAGGAACTCCTACCATTCGCAACAGCATGGATGGGCCTGGAGAGCATTATGCTAAGCCAAATAAGCCAGTAGGAGAAAGATAAATATCACATGATCTCACTCATTTATGGAATATAATAAACAACATAAACTGATGAACAAAAACAGATCCAGAGACAGAGAAGCATGGATCAGATGCTCAAACCTCAGAGGGAAGGTGGGGGGGGTGGGAGTAAGGGGGAGAGATTAACCAAATGACTTATATGCATGCATATAAGACACATATGTATAACTTAATCAATAAAGAAAAAAAAAGAGCAAGGCCTCAGCCTTGGCCAGTATGCTAAGTGGTTAGAGCATTGGCCTGCACACCAAAGGGTTGTGGGTTCAATTCCCGGTCAAGGACATGTACCTGAGTGGCAGGTTCACTCCCCACTGCTGGTCAGAGTGCATGTAGGAGGCAACCAGTCTGTCTCTCTCTCACATCTCTTGCTCTCTCTCTCTCTCTCTCTCTCTCCCCCCCCTTTTCCCTTCCACTCTCTCTGAAAAAGCAATGGGAAAATATCCTCTGGTGAGGATTAAAAAAAACAACAAAAAACAATGAGGCCTCAGGTACCCACCTTGCTCACCCTTCACTTGGGATGATGCTGGAGCCCACAGGAAAGTCTGGAAGTCAGGGGCTGGCACAACAGTGCCCCCTGGTGGTGGGAGTTACCACCACCACCAGAGGCCTGGCAGGCAGTTCCCAGGCAGTTCCCTGGGAAGGTCCATGTCAGCCCTAATGGGTGTAGCCAGCGAGGCCCATGATTTCATTTTTTCTCCTTTCCTAAATTAAGGATGCTGGAATCTGGAGAAAATTCTATAGAATCCACCTTTTGGTGCTAAAGAATCACAGGTTTGGGAGGAAGCTGAGCTCAGCCTCATATCAACTTGGGGGAATTGGGATAAAACCGGATTCAGACTATCCCTAGGGCTTTCAGCAAATGCAGCAGCCTGGAGGGGTATGGATGTCCTGAGACTTGGGCCCCGCAGTCTAGAACTCCTTTGGGGACATCAGAGACCCAGAAGCCCACAGCGTTGGGCAGTAGCATGAAGCCCTAAGCCCAGCCCAGACTAGGTGGGCAGGGACCTGAGAGTGGGCAGCCCTCACCAGAGCCATAAGGCCCTCCCTCCTTCTCTCCCCGGGTCAATGACAAGGAAAACGTGCAGGCAGGGGTGAGCATCTTTCCAGGGTGACCAAGCTGCTGCTCTCACTGGATTCTCAGTGTCCCAGTCTGAGCTGGACCTGACAAAGTGGCTGCAGGGGTGCAGGGGAGAAAGGAGAGAGGCAGGTGAGCAAGCTGCTTACTGGGTACTGGCCGCAGCACGTCGGGGATGAGGACCTCCACCAGGGCCTGGTAGAGGATGTGGTCACAGTTCCTCATCCACTTAAGGATGGGGTCACATTTACACAGAGACACCAGCTTGTCCTTCGGGAGGATGGTGGCTTCGGGAATCTCATCACTGTGGGGGAATGGGGGAGACGAGGTAAGCCAAGGCCTGGAGACCACCCCACGCAGGTCATGCGGTCCACCCCCCGCCTATGGCTGAGATAATGACATTTCCCACTGTGGCTACTGCTGACTTCTCTTTGGGATGGCATATGGTCACCAATAAAACACTCACTGAAACAAGTGAATGGGCAATGCAAATTACAAATCAACCGTCAGAAGTATAAAAACAACATGTAATTATGGGGGGAGTGACAATTCTTGGAAAGTAGACGCATTTATCTGTGGGTCACAGTGTGGGTGTCATCGCGCCTGCCTGGGGGAACAACCACAATACCTGGCTGGTAGAGAGGCAGGGCCGTCGCTGGAGGAGGCTTTAGCATTCCAGAAGGAAAGCCACAGCTTCTCAATGTAGTGGAACTGGAGGTTCATCACGACATCTAAAGTTGCCTGGAAGTAACATTGGCCCGTTAGACGCATGAATGTGGCTGTTCAAAAGTGTGTGGATCGCTCCAGCTGGTTTGGCTCAGTGAATAGAGCATCGGCTTGTGGACTGAAAGGTCAGGGCTTGATTCTGGTCAAGGGCACATGCCCAGGTTGCAGGCTCCATCCCCAGTAGGGGGTGTGCAGGAGGCAGCCAATCAAAGATTACCATTGATGTTTCTATCTCTCCCTTCCTCTCTGAAATCAATTAAAAAAAATATATATATATATATATATTTTTAAAAAGGGTGTGGATCACATGTCATCAGGACATTCTAAGCAGTCAGTGGTGATTCAGGCTGTGGGGGAGAGGATCTTTTGAAATCAGAGAGAGACCACAGTGGAGATGGAAATGGACAAAGGGGCGCTGTCCAGGGGGCAAAGATTCTATCTGCTCCTTGGCTAGAGGGAGCAGGGGCCGCTCTGGGTCCTCTGTGTTGTCAGGGACACCTGGGGATGTCCGAGGATTTGGTAGTCCTGGGGAGGCACACTGGGCTCTGCACCCAGGCCCTGGGGGCACCGAGGTTCCCACTGAATCCCCACAGCCCAGGTGTGGGCTCTTCCTGGGGGCCACCTGGAGGGGGCAGTCACCTCACAGTGCCGCCGATAGGCCAGCTGCAGGGCCTTGACGTCTTGAAGCGTGATGCTCTCCTGCAGCAAGACGCTGCCCAGGTCAGGTGCTGGGAACTCCGGGAAGACGTGGGAGACATCTGGGGGGTGGGGGGGAGGACGGAAACGGGGTCATCAGCAGACCTGCAGAAGGTCCATGAGCCGAAGCCGGGCTGGGCGTCCCGTGTGCTGGGGGATGCTATCCAGAAGTGGTGGTGACCACCTGACAACCCGGGGCGGCATCCTGGCTTCCCTGAGCAGTTACACAGCTTTGTACGCTTCAGTTTTCTCAGGTACAGTATGGGGACAGCAGCATCACCTCCCACCAACATGAAATATGCTGAGACAAGACAAAGCATTGCGCCAGGGCCCAGACACAGTGAGTGTTCTCATCACCCCAACAGGGGAGCTAGCCAGAGCAGTGCCTCTGGGGACAAGGCTGGCCCTGTGGTGATCCCGGGCATGACAACCTCTCTAGAAGACCCAACACAGGAGGGCTCTGTTCAGGCTCAAGAAATACATTAAAAATACACCAGGCCACTGATGTCTCAGTGTGTGTATGCTTGATACTGATCCCAGTGACCCTCCCTGGGCATGTCCCGGTGGCAGGCTCTTAGGATGCAATCCCAAGAAAGCAGTGGGGCCACTGGGTGGGGAAACGGTCTCTCCCACAGTTCCCAGGGAAGAGGGCCAGGCAGCCCTTTGTGAGGGCACCGGGAGGGGAGAAATCGAGTTTTTCAGGGGTCTTGAGCATCCAGTTAAGCAAGGAGGAGAACCCAGGAGGACAGCCAAATCCTGCTGCTGCCCTGAGCCGACAGGTTTTACAATAGGACATCTAGCTCGGCCAGTGTGGCTCGGCTAGTTGGAGTATCGTCCTGTACACCGAAAGGTCTCAAGTTCGATCCCTGGTCAGGGCACATATCCAGGTTGCAGATTTGATCCCTGGTCAGCAACTGATCAATGTTTCTCTCTCACATCAATGTTTCTCTTTCTCTCTCCCCACCCCCACTAAAGTCAATAAACAAACAAACATATCCTCATGTGAGGATTAAAAACTAAAATAAAATAGGACATCTAGTCTTCTTTCTGACCGGCATTTAATTTTATTTAGGTTTTTTTTGTTAATCCTCACCCGAGGATTTTTTTCCATTGATTTTTTTTTTTTTTAGAGAGAGTAAAAGGGAGGGTGAGGGGAGGGAGAGAGGAAGAGAGAGAAAGAGAGAAACATCAATCTGAGATTGGTTGCCTCCCACACATGCCCCCACTGGGTCCGGGGATCAAACCTGCAATCCAGGTACAGTCCCTTGACCGGGAATCGAACCCTCGACCCTCTGGTGCACAGGCCGATGTTCTAAGCACTGAGCCACACTGGCCAGGGCTATTTATTTATTTATTTGATGGTCATTTTATACATTAATTTTGGGGATATATGCTGATTGTTCTAAAATCTCAGGGATGACACAACAAAGTTTATCTAAAACTTTCTATGTAACAAAAAAGGTGTCAGGCTCTGCTGGGTAGCTCAGTTGGCTGGAACGTTGTCCAGGTATGCCAAGGTTGGGAGTTTGATCCCTAGTCAGGGTACATACAATAATCAACCAATGAATAAGTGGAACAACAACAACAAAATCCATGTATCTCTCTCAAATAAAGAGAAATTTATAAAAAAGAAAAGGTGTCACACAAGAAAACTGTTTAATGCACCCCTGTAGATGCTGCTGGTGCCGAAACCCACAAGCACCCAGAAGTGCTGAGGAGATCCGGAGCTTTCACAGCAGGCCCTGCACCCAGGGTGGGGGTGTCCCTGCTCACCTATGTATTGCTGGTGGTGCTGGCTCTGGGCGGCCATGGCCTGCTCTGGCGTGCTGTGTAGGCTGCTGTGCGAGCCATTGTCCCCAGGACTGTCCGACTTCTGGACTGGCCGGTACCTGGGTAGAAAACACACGTGCCACCATGAGGCCCCAGCAACACTGCCTAGAAAGGGCCTGAGGAGCACAGGGCTGAACAGGGTACAGTTGGTGTGTGTGTGTGTGTGTGTGTGTAATCTATAATAATAAAAGCGCACTATGCTAATCAGACCGGACAGCCAAACGACCTTCTCTGGCTCATTCCGGACAAAGCTGCGGCGGCGGGGGCTGAGGCAGAGGCGGTTAGGGGCGATGAGGCAGGCAGTCAAGTGGTTAGGGGCGACCAGGCAGGCAGATGAGTGGTTGGGGGCGATGAGGCAGGCAGGCGAGTGGTTAGGGGTGATGAGGCAGGCAGGCAAGTGGATAGAGGCGAACAGGCAGGCAGGCGAGCAGTTAGGCTGATGAGGCAGGCAGGCAGAGTGGTTAGGGGCTATCAGGCAGGCAGGCGAGCAGTTAGGGGCGATCA